GGGTAATAAAATAATGGCTGATGTAATATTTTCCCTATAACTATTATAAAAACACAAAATAAGTAAAGATAAGTATTTATATTTGTGCACAAGCTGTTTAGATTGTCAAAAAGCCTGTGTTTTTAGGGTTATTAACGAAGCTTGTGAACTCAGACCAGTAATATTTGGGGTCACAAGTTTTGCCATGGATATTTTGTGGGTCAGAAGATAAAAAGTTTGGGAACCACTGGGTTAGATCACATCTGACCAACTGACTTGTTTGGTTTATACATGATATCTTTTGTATTGCTGCGTTAGCCAGGTGTGTGCGTGTTCCAGCATCTTCTTGCCTTGCAAGGCGCGTTTGAAGACCTACTGCTTCTTGAGGGGCACAAAGCCCATTCCCTTAATTTTAAATGATAATTTTGGTTGGGGGTTAAGTTGTGGAAATGAATAGAAGTCGATGCAAAGTTCCTGTTATTTTCTGCCCTCTAACAGAAAATTATGGAATTGCCACTTTTGTAGGATGTTCTTTCAGTTTGATTAATTTTGTATCAAAAAAACTTGCAGATGAAACTACAGAACTATCATCTTTTTATTTTTTCCAAAAATGCAACCTTCTGTCATAAGGAAACAAAACAAAAAAACTCACAGTTGCGTTACTTTCTGGCATTTTAGGTCAGAAATACGTTAAATATAATACAAGTTACTGTTGGTGAATAACTTTTGTATTTTTAAAAGCACTTTACAGTAAATTTTCAAGGTTTATTAATTATCTAAGCCCTGACAGGAAAATCACATCACCACAGCCATCTGTAAACCATTGAATTGTAAAATTTACTGCTGAGAAGTTGATGCAGAGTATTTATAGAACATGATCACCTCTGTGATGCCATTATTCTCCAGAGAAAGAACTTTCAGCTTTTAGAACTAAATCAGGCTAAAGTTATTTATTTGTTTGTTGATTTATTTATTTATTTTCTGTCACACATTTTGCTTAAGCTCTAAATCAAATAAATTTAGCTTTTATTAAAACATAGTGACAACATTTAGAGTCAGCTTGCCAAACAGTCCTTATATTGGTCTAAAACTAGTCCATAATCTAGAATGGACTTGTTAATTCATACTCTTGCAACTCTATTCCAGGCAGTACTAAAGCCTTTTGGGTATTTTAATGACCTGCATTAAGTATCTTTGTACTCATTTCTTACATTTCATATATTGGCTGCACTTTGTAGCCATATTGTTATCCCCTACTACTCAACATGCTGATTATTATCAATATTACTTTTAGGTACTGGGTATTTAGGTCTAAATATTCTTTTAATAACTTCAGACAAGTTTTAAATGGCAGCTTTATTCAAACCATACATTATGATCTGATGATTTATTAGGTTTGCCCAGGTTGTGTTTTACAGTAGTCATACAAGTGTCTGTACTAAGCACCATGACTGATCCATTATGAACAACAAAAATCCTTAATTGAGATTTGAAAATCTTTTTAAATGATCCATAAATTTAGCACACAAAGGAAATGTGTGTTTGATAGATTATTTCTTTGTTGTAACAATGCTTCTTGGTGGCACCTGGAGGCACTAGATGCTCAAAACAAATGTCAACAGTTAAATAAGCTGTTTGGCAGCCCACATACTCAGCTCCACTGCTCATCCTACAAAAGCATGTTCCTTATAAATGTGGCGCCATTTAAAAGAGAATTTACCAGTCTTTCCAATGATATAAGATTCATTGCCAAGAAGCATTGTCACAACAAAGAAATAATCTACTAAACACACAATTCCTATTTGTGCAAAGTTTATATATATATATAT